CCATTCTGCTTGCGTTAGCTCCAACTGGTACTAAATCATTTCCGTCTCTATTTACGCATGTCACCTAAATTGTTATATAAACCAGGTAACTCTCCCTGCAAATTATCCCCTCAGTTTAAAAGCCAGGCCCTTAGATTCCATATTATAATGATTATAGCATATCTTTGCTGGTCCTGAAACTCCAATTCAGGCTTCTGAAATTACTTAGTGCCTTCTTACTGCAGCCAGTAAAGCTGGCTGGCTTTACCTGCCTTTTGAGCTATTTATAAATGACACTTCTGCGCCTTCACAGGAGTGTAACCAGCCCAGCTTTTGAATCAATAAGAATGAAAGTCAATGCCCAAACTAAAAACTTCAGTGAAACAATCAAGCTTGAGGATTGTATACTGATTGTGCCAATTATTAAAAAAATAGTAACTATCTATGTACGTTTCCAGTAGTTAGTTGACAGTTCTTGGAACTTTGAAACTGACACGCAGCGTACAAAGAGGAAACAAGCACCCCTCAGAACATTTCTGTCTTTAAGTATTTATTTAAGTAAAAATAAAAGTTATGTCACTTCAATTACTAACTCCAAACTAGCTACCAGCTAAAGAATTCTACTCTGTAGATTGCTGGATGAAAAAGAGAAGCCTTCTAGCAGAGGTGACACAAGGAATGGCTGTTTTTATGAGCAGTGCAACACACATCTGTTTGCAAAACAAGGCGTAAATGACTTTCCTGATAAACCCAAGAAATTTACCTTGACCTTGTTCTTCCTCATTCGAGAAAATAAAACCCAGGAACTAATATCACCTGCCTACAAGAGCAGCGTCTTGTTTACACAGATGGCAGTTCCTCATCGGATTGGCAAAATTCTTTCTGCTCATGTAACACTTGACTATTATTGTGGCTATTAAAGAAGAGTGGAAGTTAGGAGGGGGAAAAAATAATAAATAAATAAGATATTCTCCTAGAAACAACGTCTCAAGTTATCACATCAAACCCACCTAATCCAAGCAGGAAGGCAGTCCCTGTATGGTTTAGGAACTCAGGACTCTGCCTTCCCAAACCCTGAGAGCAGGGAGAGGTGAGGACAGAGCACCGGGACACGATGACTGCCGTCCCGTGCTGGCACAGACCCGGGGGAGTATCACACCCCTAGGTTTTGCAAACCCCTGCTGGCACGTATTCACGGAGAGGAATAAAATAGCCCAAAAGTTTCCATTGACCTAAACACAGAGTAATCCACTGGCGTCAACGCGAGGCTGAAAGGGGAGAAGCCCACCGTCCCTCAGCTTCGCTCCCGTCTGCAGGAGCTGACACCCAGAAAAAACAACCTCAGCAACTCAAGGTAGGTGAGCAGACACCAAATCCTGAGCGGCCATCGTCTGTTTCTGTTAGGAACAGAGAACACCGTGTTCTTATTTTAACTATATGCGCTTATTTGCCATCTGTTTAATTGCCATGTAGGCCAGAAACTCAACAGCCAGACTCAGCGGCGCGGCACCACCACCCTTTCCTGATGGGCAAGGTGATTTACAGTAACTCCATCTTCTACCTCCGCTCTAAACAAAGAAAGCGATAAACTATTTCGCCGCTGACCCGTTTCAGAAACTGCCCCAAAACATTAAAACTTACTACTGCTGCTTAAACATTACTAATAGTGCTACTAAAACCCTGTCACTGCAATACGCTTCACTTTTACAATTTCCTTCCGCTTGCTCCGTTACTTCCTCTTAAGAAAGTTCTTGCATCCCAGGGGGGCCAGGACTCTGCCTTCTTCACTGCACAAGGCTCTTCTTTGGGTCTACACAAGACTGCACATACACAGCAAGACATCCTGGTTGCAAATCCAAAAAAACCAAAACAAACAAAAAAAATTCTGCCTCAAACAGCAGCATTTTAAGAGTCTTTACAAGTCTTAGTAAGTCCTTACAAGAGCACACGGGTACAGCAAGAACTCTCCATTTTTTAAGACATCTGACAACGTCGAAGCGCAACAACTAGAAAATGTCAAAGCAGCACAGCCCTTTTGGAAGAAAAATCAAAAAAGAGGTAAGATGCACACATTTCAGCTTACTCCCAGAGATCCCAGCGTAAAGGTACCTCTATGAATAAATCTCGTTTGGATGCTTTTCTAGGCTCTCACCCAAACAGAGCAAAATGAGATTCTAGAAACTGCTAATAACTTGCAAGCACCTGCGGCTTCTGGATGGCAAAGGAAAGAGGAAAAGAGGAAAGAGGAAAAGAAGATCAAAGGAAAAGAGAAGAGCAAGAACCCGTGCACAAACTCAACATGTCTGTGTCTCAGCTTCACCAACACCTGCAAGGAAGGCTGCAAGAGCCAAAATGCCAATAACCCTTGTACCCTTCTCAACATGAAGACTCTCAGCATCTTTACTAGGAGACGACACAAAGCTTACTTTATGAGTTCTTAAGATTATAAGGAAAGATTCATCTGGGATCCCTTGTGTGGAGAACAGATAGTTAAACAACCAAACTATTATACATGCATAAAAGCCAAGACAGAGTAATGCAAAGAGTTAAAATAATATGGGAAAATGCTGAACCTTGAACTTGGCAGTTCACAGTTTTATCACTCAAGGGAAAAGATAAAAGGCCTGCTTCTGTTGGGCTTTCTGACCAAATGGAGTTGTCCTTTAAACAATCCCCAGAAGAAAAGAAATTAAAAAAAAAAAACCACCAACACAAAAGTACACAAAATTTAAGGTCTCAACCCACAATACAGTGAAAAGCAGTACATACACTAAAGAAAAGTGAAAGCAGGAGAGAAACATGCAATGCTGAAGGACAACCTAGGCCCTCTGTTACAGATTGATGTTTCCCTTGATAAAATGACAGCACGGCCAGGGCACGCTTGCGGAATTCAAACCCTCAGCCCAAAGCCATTCCTAGGATGTTATCATGATTCAAACTCTAATAGACAGCACAATCACTCTTACTTGCTATCTTACGTCCAGGACATGAGACTCTTCTCATCCAACCTCAAACTCCATCCCTAGGAACTTTCCTATCTTCTCATCACACTGCCACAAAAATCGTGGCTTCTGGAAAAACACCAAATCATTCACACAGAAATGAGTCTACTTCATGTATTCCAAAGATGCTACAAACCACTACAAAATGGTACACAAGACTAGCAAGGACTTCCCATGTCAGGGCTACTGATAGTATCTGATGTTCACAATGTGACAGCTAACTCCATCCAAAAGCCAGCTGCCACCAAATATAAGCTGCGCGTTGGCATTTATCTGATCCTGCTGCAACTGTGATTGAGGAAAGGAAACCAAGAGAGATTTGAATCTCTTTTAGAGGAGCCCTTTATCTCGCAACCCATCTTGAGGTCAGACCACCAGGAGGCAGGGAGCAGACACACATAACCCGATCTAGGCCAGGTTGGATGGGGCTTGGAGCAACCTGGTCTGGTGGGAGGTGTCCCTGCCCAGGGCAGGGAGGCTGGAACTTGATGACTTTAAGGTCCCTTCCAACTCTAACCATTCTATGATTGCATGAATTGAGGTGTGCTGCGTGTTCAGCATTGCTTTGAGTTTTCCAGGTTCAAGGAGAGGCTGTACACCTCCTGAAGCTCTTCAGGGTGGCCAGGGCCATTTTTAAAGACATTATTTTCAACGTCCTTTAACACAGCCTGCGGTGACAGTGTCTTGCTGCTTGCTTTCTTCTGCTGGTCGTGCTGTTTTCTCACTGCGGTGAGAAACTGACCAGAGGTGGCTGGTCTGTTCTCTACTCCTTTTCTCTTTCTCTCCCCTTTTCTCCAGATTCATGAACCCAGCAAACGTGCGTCCGCAATCGAACCATTCTATGATTCTGTGATCTAGGGGAAGAGGGTGGCCACCTTCAGCGGCAGCCAGCATCGGACCAGCTTAGACACGGTGGAAGAACAACCCCACGGCTGCTTATCCCCATCTCAGGTTGGGGCTGTTCACCTCCCCCTTTGGAAGGCTGGGGGGAGGAAGGATGCAGAACAAAAAAAAAGCCAAATTCACAGAATCACAGAATCGTCGGAGTTGGAAGGGACCTTCTAGAGATCATCTAGTCCAGCTCCCCTGCCAAAGCAGGGCTGCCCAGAGCACATCACCCAGGAGCATCCAGGTGGGGCTTGAAGGTCTCCAGAGAAGGGGACTCCACACCCTCCCTGGGCAGCCTCTGCCAGGGCTCTGCCACCCTCACCCCAAACAAGTTCTTCCTCACATTGGAGTGGAACTTCCCATCTTCCAGCTTGTGCCTGTTGCCCCTCGTCCTGTCCCTGGGAACCACTGGAAAGAGTCCGGCTCCATCCTCCTTCAACCCACCCTTTAGATACTTGTCAGCATTGAGAAGGTCTCCCCTCAGCCTTCTCTTCTCCAGGCTAAAGAGCCCCAGCTCTCTCAGCCTTTCATGCCATGTCACCCTTTGGTGTCATGCCATCCTCTTCACCCTTGAACCACCTCGAGGAGCAAGGGCGAGGAGGTCGGAAGACACTGGCCATGGGCTGGCGTGAAGGGTCTGAAGGCCAAATGTGGCACAACGAGCCCAACTCATCCAGCCGTCAGCGTGGTTCCGAGCCAGATGGCACACTCCTGCCTACACCCAGCTGCCGCCACCTGCTTTACGTTTTGTTCATTTATATGTATCCATAGAAAAAAAACCAAAAATAAACCAAAAATATCCACAAAAAACCCAACCAAAAAAAAAAGCCAAACCCCAACAAAACCTCGAGAGGCCTATTTTCTGCCTCTCGGTCACCAGCACCGGCCTGGGCAGCACCAAACAATTAATTTCCCCCGGCTGAGGGGCTGGAGCAGGGAGGGATTTCTGACAGGGCACCCCCTTTCC